GATCTACTGATATAGAAAAAAATTGCACTCGGAGCTTTGGTCAACGGGGTTGGCATTTGGGCTGGCACTGTGTAATACCTTTGTCAACATGGACAGTGGGATTGAGAGTACCCTCAGCAAGTTTGCTGACACAAAGTTGTGCAGGGCAGTGGACACACTGGAGGGAAGGGATGTCATCCAGAGGAACCTTGGCARGCTTGAGAGGTGGGACTGTGTGAACCTCATGAAGTTCAACAAGGCCAAATGAAAAGTCCTGCACTTGGATCAGGACCATCCCAAACACAAATACAGGCTGGGCAGAGAATGGACTGAGAGCAGCCCTGAGAAGGACCTAGGGATGTTGGCTGACAAGAAGCTCAATGTGTCCCAGAAATGTGCACTCACAGCCCATAAAGCCAAATGTGTCTGAAGCTGCACCCAAAGAAGCATGGCCAGCACCTCACCACTCAGGTGATGCCCCACCTGGAGCACTGCATCCAGCTCTGGGGTGCCCAGCACATGCAGGACACTGACTGACCTGTCACAGCAGGTCCAGAGAGGGGACATGAAGATCATCAGAGGGCTGGAGCACCTCTCCTATGAAGAAAGGCTGAGAKAGTTGGGGTTGTTCAGCCTGGAGCAGGGAAGGCTCTGAGGTGGCCTAATTGTGGCTTTCCAGTACTGAACAGGGGCCTGTAAGAGGGCTGGAGAGGGACTTTTTACAAGGGCATGCTGCAACAGAACAAGGAGAAATGGGTTTAAACTACAAGAGGGAAAGTTTAGATTAGATATTCGGAAGAAATTCTTTACTGTGAGGCACTTGAACAGGTTGCCCAGAGAAGCTGTGGATGCACAGTCCCTGGAAGCGTTCAAGGCCAGGATGGATGGGACTTTGAGCATCCTGGTTTAGTGGAAGATGTCCTCTGCCTATGGCAGTGGAGTTGGAACTAGATGATCTTTGAAATCCCTTACAACTCAAAGCATTCTTCAATTCTGACATATATGTGGATAAGGGGAAGAAACAACATTAAGACCATCTCTATAACCACTCTCTGTAAAAAAGAGAGCTTATTATAATATCAACTCTTGCATTGTTTAGCAGATTGAGCTTACTACCATTTTCAGAGGTCRCTGCTTTCCTCTGTTATTTTTATAYTAATGAGGGAATCTAATGCTCATGGAACGATACCACCAGCAATAGCAAGGTCCAGGAATAGCATGGGCAGGTGCTGTGCACAAAYTTCTCCCACAACTCTGTCAATCAAGCTCAAGCCTGACTCATCTTGTCTCAGTGTTGTATTTTTCTGAAGCAGAGATTAATCACTGTGCCAAACTGTAAGGTGTGAAGTTCCACTTGGAATGAGAATGACTGTAGACAAATTTTCCCTATCAATGCCTCCCAACTTGAAATCAGTGCTGCAAGGGCTTGGAGATGGGAATGAAAGACTGAATAAGAAAAGAATAAATTTCTCATGAAAATTACTTTACCTACAAAAACAATTTCTGCAAAAAAAGAGGAAATTCATTCCAGTCTGAACAGAAATATCCTTTTTAAGACTTATGCTTCTTGTATCTCTGTAGCAATATCTAAACAGCAGCTGCTTTTAAATCAAACTAAGCTGTAAAACCAAGTTGTGTTATGAATTTCACCTTTCTTCTGCAAAAGCTAATCCAAAGTGCATCTGTCAATWGCAGCATCYATTTTTGGTTAATCTCAAACTATTWTAAGTACTGRAGGGTATTCAAAGAATGGTARAAGGAGCCAAACAATAAAAATGTTTGCAATTTTAACACCTAAMAGCCTACACATCAGCCGAAAAGTAGGTGAGTTGTGAGCCACACCAGAAGACTGTTTATCCACGATTAAGTGTCACTGTGAGGTGCTAACATGGAGAGGCATGTAAGAACTTAGTTGGCAACTTTACAAAGACAAAATAAAGGCTTTTTATTTAAAGTAACAGTTGAGTTACTAACTGTAAACAGTAAACATTTTAGGGCAAGTGTTGTTTCTAAGTTCCTGCAAAAGTATTTTTTTCCTTCTGTAAAACTCACCCCAGGCTATTGCCTGAAAAAGTCTGTAATTGTGATAGATGGAAGTATGCAGGGAAGCAAAGCCAAGTTTCAAGAAGCGCCTGGCAGAATTATTAATGCAACTTAATGTATCATTTAACAAGAGTAGCCAGGATAAATTTTTGATGTGAGGCAAGCATTTTAAACAGTTTGACTTTTTCATGAAGGTCATGGAGTCTTTCAAGGTAAGGACATAAACACAAGCTACAGCACAATAAATTAGACAATGTACTTGCAGGGTATCACATGGAACCTACAACTTATAGATATGTTCTTACTCTGGTGTGTAATATGAGTTGTGTAACATGTATGTTGAAACAGCTCTCCCTTCAGCACAAGGTAAGCTAACTAATTTGTTCCTAGTTTGGGCTGTCAAAATGTAAGATCTTCACCCTAGGTACAAAAAAATTAGCAGCTCTAGCACAAATTTTCTTAGAGTCGTAAACTTTTATTCTGGTCCACCACTACACTGTACAACATCTGCCAAATACTGTAGGCTGGATTTGAAAGACCAAAAAACAGGCTCTGTGGCAATTTTTCAACTGCCATTAATTCAGGTTTCATATACACAYGACACCTTACACTTCAGTTCAAATCTTGACCCRSTTATATTCAAAGACTGTTAAAGAAMAACTCATGAAAGTTTCATATAGGCTACACAGCAAAGCCAGGAAGAATGCCAGTATTAGTAGGTATTTCTTCAGGTATAAGAGAATAAAGAAAGAACCTTGGCAGGAGACCTGCCTTTCATTAAGGACATGGATTAGCACTAAGTCAGCAACATTMTTCTTTCCTACTTAGTAATTCTGATGAAAATTAACATTTATTAAATAATTTCTGCAGCATTGTTTATTTTCCTATAATATTCAGGTTTTGACTACTTTCAATACATTTCTTGATTCTTAGTTTTGATTTTTTCTCACAATTCCCTGAGTTTCCATATGGCTATGCATTCATGCATTCATGCAGGTGACAGCCATTTATACCCTGCTTTGATAAACTTCAATCTCTCTTTCCCTCCTCCAAGCAGAAGCACCCTCAAGGCTCTGCGTGGGACCCCACAAATGGAAACAAGGACTGGAGTCATATGATGTGTGCAGCACTGACAGGCTGAACTATTACAAACTTGAGCAGGCAGTCCCAGCCCTGACCCTGACAAACAGCCTTTTTCAAAGTTCAGTTGTGATTTCTCCATGGATTTGAATGAAAGATATCAAAAACTAATTTCCAAGATGTTGACATACTCAGATAATTTGTTGGTAAAAGGTAATTGTTGGTAAAACTGAATGACTGGTGATCCCAGTGTAACAACAGAGGTCCCATTTCCCTAGAGCCGGAACTGAGCAGGAGCTGAGAAAGGAGAAAACCAGAAACAGTGATACTGACTTACACCACATTACAGCCTAGCAGTGAATCTCTACCAGTGCTTTACAAAGTGAAGGTTTCCAAGGGCATAGCACCACCATGCTTCCTCCTTGAAATTATTTGTATTACTGGTCTACTCTACCTTAATTTAGCATGTAATTGATTTACATGTAAWACGAGATTTTATTTTTCCAGACATTTATTTTATAAAATTTGATTTACTAGAAAAATACATTATTTCTAATTTACAGCAACCTCTTCTATACCCTGTTTAATTACATGGGTATTTGTGCTTCATTATTATCCTTCTGGGTTTGATGGCAGCATTATAATTGTACCAAATTCTTTTCTTAAGAAAATGCACTTTTCTTTCTCTTATTCAGCTCACTCTGCCCTAAAGTTATCCTGCGGAAGGTCTCTAATGAACATGCATAAAGCAGCAAAAACACGTTCTTTGCGAGAATGTTTCCAGCAAATTGGCCTCTACCACACTCTTATTTCTGCCTGGAGATGCAGAGACAAACAGAAGGGGCTCATGTACACATACTACTGTCTTTATGCTTTTAGAGAATCTGCCTTGTGCATGCGTCAGAGGCAAAATAATTAAGAGAAGTATCTAATTTCTTTTCAAAGACTCCAAGCCATGCTGTCACATTGTTAGTTATCTTCTACATAATTTCACAGTTTTCCAGGCTAAGCTTAATCAAGTTCCACATTTGGCACTAGATCTTGTTATGCCTTTGTCTACAGAATGAAAAGCCTCTATTCCATTCTTACTTGTACTCTGGAGATGAAAAAATCCTACATATAAAATAATTAATCCACCCTCCAATATTTCTTCTATAAATTGCATGTCTTAAACATGCTAAAAATCCCAATATGATGACTGTTTTTCTAGACCCCTTATAATTTTGGTTGCATCACCATCCCTGGAGGTTTTCAAAAGACAAGTAAGATGTGGCACTTAGGGACATGTTCAGTGATGGACCTGGCAATACTAAGTTTATGGTTGGACTCRATCTTAAAAGGTCATTTCTAACCAAAATGATTCCACAATTTCAACAAATTTCCATGAACTCTCTCTAGAAGTTCCATATCTGTATTAGAAGTCCTGACTAGGGCATAGTACTTTATCAGGGTCTTAACAAAGCTATTTTTAGTGGAAAGATCACTTAGTATTTAAAATGTATATTCTTCATGATCTTTTTAGTCATAATACTTGTTRTGAGGTCACAGCAGTTGTCTGTGAAGAATCCTGTATTCCCCTGAACCTGTTACATGTAGTCTGTAGCTTACATAAAAGCTCTTTTCCATAGAAGTAATTTTCTCTTAACTTTGTAAACCTTAAATGTAGATAATTTTTATACACTTTCACTATGTATAACAGGCACCTCCAAAAGAGTCTCCACTCTACTACACTGAGATACTTGTCTGACCCTTTAGGAACCTACAATAGCATTTTAGTTCAAAAAAAAAGGATGGTTCGAAAGCAATTAGAATTGGTGTCTCCTCACCAATAGCCAAATCCAATTTTTTGAGCTCTTGCATAGGTGATTAGAGAAGACAGCAGGGCGCATGTTTATTACCTGAATTGTCTGGTAAACCGARGGATCAAATCCTTTAACAGTCACTTCTCGGAAAACTCTTGGCTCCAGTTCCTCTTTGGTCAGATCACAGTGATATATAATACCTATAATACACAATACAGTGCAAATTTGTCAGCTTAATATATATCCATCATTAACAGGATGCCAGTTCAGGCACTGTGACAGAGTAATGAATGGTAAAGGCAACTCAGCAGGGTGAAAAACAGTAGTTCTGGACACATTTTTTCATTAATTATATAAATTAACACTTACATAAAAGCATTTCATGTAGGGCAAAACCTTTCTGTGCAGAAGGAGTAATTCATATCATTCACACAGGTGAATTAATGGGGCTGAAGCAAATACGGAAAAAGGTTTCCATAAAGTTAAAAAGCATTTCTTGAGAACGATAATGTTTGAAGAAATAAATACAAAGTCAATTTTAAAACAGTCCCTTTAGAGTCACCAGACTGAGAATAAATATACTAAGAATTTCACTCAGCGCAACATTTTTTTGTTCATGATAAAATATTTGAAATTAAAATTCAAATGGACCCCAGATAACAGAGAGCTAAACATCCATTTTAAATTGTGGCAGACTAGAATATGTTACCTATGGAACTGAACAAAATCTGGTCTCATGTAATTTCTTTTACATCCTGATCCTGTAGTTTTGAAGACAACTTCACCTGAGTTGTGCCTATGATTTCCAAAGGATTGTGCACATGAGAAAACTTACATCTATAAATAATATGAAACTTATAGGTTGCAGCAGAGGCTGAATCACAGGGACTGCAGCTATCTAGGCACTACACAGATGTGTAACTAGCCAAGAATAATTCTGCATCTAAACTATAGATCTTATTTCCTGTMATTCAACTCCAATAACATTTGAGTATCCGTCATACAATGTAACTATCATGTTTGCWCACTGGTTAACATATCAAAAAATCCTAATATTCATGCCTGTACTACAGATACATATGATACATAAACTAACTTGAGTGTTAATTATTCTGGTTTTCTCCTTTACAACAAGYTGGTCCCTGCAAATTTTGAAACATATATTAGGGAAAAGAACACTWAAAGGTATGGCAGTAAGCACTTTACTGGGACCTTCAATGTAATAAAATTAACCAAGGTGGACAGGACTTGATTGAAATACTGCTGTATTGTGTGTATTATAGACACATTCAGGAAACAGAATTAATTATTACAGAGGCTATAACTATAAAAATTCGTACCGACTAAAACGTGAAATAATGAGGAAACCTATCTGATACAATACAAATCAGAAGGACAGATTGGCAAACAAATGCAAATGTAAGCGAACATGTCTAGCAACTGATAAAGCCTCTTTCCATAACAGTGCATTTACACGGACTAAAAGGAGGACTACCTTAATCTGCTGGGAATTTTTTTTTCTTAGTTTATCACAAAATGACTAGCAAGCCCTATCAGGCTGATAGGTACAAACAAGCTTTAAGGCAGCATTTCCCTTAAAGATTAGGATCCAGAAAATCTTGTGAAAGTGCAGTGTAAAGCACTCCAGGCTGTAACAGACAGAGCTGTCGTTTGACACACAGGCACCTGCCCAAGCTGGGTAATGTATTGGCAAACACTACACACAGAGCAGACAGAATTGCCACATCTTAGCAGAACACATGATGAAGGACAAGCACAGCCACAGACTGCATTTCCACAGCCAATCAACCAAGTGTGTTACAGTGACATGCAACTCAACCCCTGGTACTGCATTCTCTTGYTCTATTATAGTTTTAGTGTAAAAACCATTGTAGTATTGTAAACATACTGTAATACTGTGCTAAATAAAGGCAAAACACCAGAATGGTCACCTAAGAATCTGACTAGAGTGGACAGCAAGAATAACCATATTCTTCAGGGAATAACAAAAATTATTTTACAGTGTCAACATATAATGGTTTATAATGCTTTGGACAACTCCAGCTTTGCAGGACTGTACAAAGAAAATTCCCAGAGCAATCCAATGCCAAGTACTGTAAGGACAGATAGATAGTAAGGATGCTCAAAAAAGGCTGTGCATAAATGAATCACAAAACTGTCAGAGAAACAATTTCTTTGACTTTTATTAGTGTTCTTTAAAATAGTGATTAAAAATCACATTAAACACATTAACCATTAYATTTGACTGGGTTTTTCACCTTCTATCTTGCTGTATGAAGCAAGAACTATGAGAATGCTACAATTTTATCTCCAGTACAAGTTAGTCTTGAGTCTTAATGCAGGTCTCTCAAATATTAGCAGGCAAATTATTTAGGCTTGATGGCTCAAGTACTGATACATTTTCATGTGCACAACCACTGCTTACATGGGTGGAAGCAGTTTTATCTGCACCTTAGACATAACAAATAACTCCTAAACTACAGAAAATGAGAAAGACACTGTTCTCAGGAAAAGGAACAATAACACAAGAGAAAAAAAAAACTTACCTGGAGATAAAAAGGAAGTAAACTGATAGAATATTTCAGTGTCCTTCTTTTGGCCACTATATCCCACAATACTGCCAACCTCTAGGGGGAAAGTCTTGAGATGTGCACCAGTGGCTAGGTCATGAAGCTGCAGGACATTCTTCACATCATGCAGGTAGCACAAAACCAGGAAATTGGACCTCACACAAGCAACCCATTCTGCACAACATGGAAAAGAAAACCAAAGAAAACAATCAGACATACTCTGGTCCTAAATTTCTTTAGCATACCTAAATGCATGCAGGAAAAATTTCTGACATGCACTGCCTTTAACTCTTAAATCTTTGTAAATGAACCCAAATTAAAGCCTGACATTCTCTGGAAACACATTAACCATGCTGTTTAAAGTTAATTTATGCAGACATRGGAATAAAGAATTGCTTAATCAATATGCTTATGCATTTGGGATATTTATAGATCAATACTGCTCTTAAATATCACATATTTCAATGCATAACCTAAGCAAAACATTTATCTTTGCCAGCAATACTTATGGAAAGTAATGAAAATCAAAACAATCATTATGATTTAYACTCAAACTAAACCCATAAGGAAAAAAGACACGTGATCCTGTATTGCACATTGAGGTATAGAACCTAGACATTACTATTTGTCTTGGTTCTATTGCTTAAGGCTAAGCAATCAGGAGACTATTCTTGTAAGCAAGCCCTACTGGGTTTAGGAAAAGCCCTATTCTGGGATGATACTCTCATCATGCCATTAAAAAAAAAGCCCCACATGCTTATTCAACAAGCTAATGTTGCTAAACAGCATTCTTGAGACTGTAAGGTAATAGGAGAAGGATGCAGAGCAGTGAACTCAATCTAGTAAAAGGATCCAGGAACAAATCACTCTGAAGAGGTTCATTGCCTTTATGCCTCTCCTGACAGTCCTAGTCCTAGTCCTGCCTTGCCTGTGCAGCTGTGCAGAAATGAGAGCTTCTGTCCCAAAGAACTTTCCCCATCATGAGTTTGTTCCTTTTACTACACATATGTGAACCTTTCTTTTCATGGCACGGTAATTTTTTAACTGGACATTAGAAAATTAAAAGCAATTAAAATAAAATATCTGGGCTGCCAATTCCTAAAAAATTGTGGTTGTACTGACTATCTCACTTCAAACTCCATCTCTAGCCTGTAAAGTGTAGAAACTCTTTGGAACTCCATTTCACCCAGGATATATCATGTAACGTATTCTCTCCTGTTTCTGTGCTGTTGGCTTTAGATTTCTAGTGACAAGTATATTTATTTACTCATACAGACAGGAGAAAGATTGAAATGTCTTAATTTTGCTCAGTATTTCTGTCATTTAAGAAATTACTTTGCAATAAAAGTATTTTAACTTCTCGTTAATTCAAAAATTGAATACAAGCAAGACAAAATACAAACAAGGTTAAAAATTAAAGTAAGTATCCGGAAGGAGGTAACATTTTTGTTTGTAAGAATAGGTAAGGAGGTGATTCTTATCATCTTTCAATTATATATACACAACTTCTTCTCTGACAAGTCAGACTGGAAATCTAAATCATGGGCAAAGCACCAGCAGTGGACAATGTATTTTTTTAATTTGCTGAAGGCAAAGAATGAGGAGACGGAACCAAATGAGCAAGAAAACGGAGGTAGGACTGACAGGGGCACACTGTAATGCCAAAGTAGCACTCTGAGATGGAGAGTTTAACATTGGCAACATTGGTGGAAAAAATACCAAAACACAAGCATGTAAAAACTGACGCAATTTCAGTTTTATGCTATTTTATGTTATTCATATTTTAACAGCTTTTTCCAGTTTCCTCCAAGTCCTATACAACCAATTAATTTGAATTCACAGAGTTGTAGAGAGTCTTATAAATGCATCTTTGCATATTCAGGTTCCAGAACAAAAGTTCAAAGTTGTACCATGTGCSCCTTCCATTAAGGGTAACAAGATTTTTTTGAATTGAAGGTCAAAACTCATTATTTTGTCGCAATTAACTTCTTTAACAGTCCATGCTTTCATATAGAGTTCATATAGGCCTGTCATGATCCCCTAGAGCTCAAAGAGCTTCAAATCCTTTTTACTTGCTTCTGAAGGACCAGTGAGATACAATACTTGTTTGACTCTCCAGAAATACGAATTCACGTTTTTAAACACCTAAATAAAGCTTTACTACACCCCTCTTCCCAAACACCACCACTCACATTTTTTTTACCCTAAACTTTCTAACTGCCTCATGAGCTTCTAGCCTAGATTTGCAAATTTTCCAATCAAAGCCCCAGAGTACACTAACTGAAATTTCAGCCATGAAGCCATGACCTGAAATAATGAAGTACAGCATAACATAGCAYTGTTTATAAATTAGTAATTGATGTGTCATTTTAGCCCTAGAGTGGCTAAAGTTTCTTAAGTGAGGTTGGAGAACGTAACAAACTTTGTAAGTTTAGAGTTCTATTCAATTACATATTTTGAAAGATAGAATCATTTTGGGCTATATAAGAAAGGTAGTAATTTAAAGTATTTTTTATATTGTCACTGCACAAATTTGCCAACATTTCTAAGTTATTTATTAATACAAAGTGGTTTATTAATACAAAGTTTGAATTAAAAAGCTAGCATCCCAACAATAACACACCTTTTTGCATGCAGAATTAATAGCTCTGCAATGAATATGAGATCCCATGAACTTCACTGGTATTCTCTGCAACATCTATAATTAAAATATCCAGTTTTACTCTCAAAATTTCTAGAAAGAAGTTTCACAAAATAGATTATAGACACTCTCAGACCAACTTCAAATGTATATAACATATAGCTTTGCCTCAATAAAAAAAAAAAAAAATTAAGGATTTTTATTTCAAAATGATATTGTGATGATGCTGTAGTTCCTCATTAATTATTTGATAAAGAAGTTCAGTTTAATGGATTTTTTCATTCACAGCTGAAGTACATTATTACTTTGACTTATATATAATAATGAAGAGATATTACTCCTTTTATTAAAAAGATTCAACTGCCCAGGAGTAAGGCTGCTGGCTTACATGGGGATTCCTGCCACTAAGGAATTTGCCTAGGAAGCAAAAATATTAACTCTCCATCGCCTCTTTGGTTTACAAACTAGATGCTCTCAGTAAAGTGAAGATAACAGATGAAAAGACAATGCAAAATGTTTTTATAACATTCCATGAGATTTAGGAACACAGCTTCTGTGTACAGTACCTGTATTATAACTGGGTTTTGGTGCATTGCTAACTGCCTCCAAAACTTACAGTAATGAAAGCTACAAAGAAATGCAAAAATCAAAACAGAGCAAAACATTGAAAAAGACTTGAGAAACTAGAACARAAAGACACTAAGAACCAACACTTAYACACACAGCAAGCTAWAACAATGYTGAATTATCAACAAGATCTATTATTTTGACTGCAAGCTTCAAGCTGAGTCTGTTATTCCCATGCTCAGCACTGAGAACCACAGATACYGTTGGGTGTGTTGCCTTAGCAGACAAACTTTAGGTTTTGCTTGTGCGCAGCAGGATACATCCTGCATGCCTCTGCACTTCCTAGAAACTTTTAAGACTGTGTGCTTTCAAACCTCCTGTCTGAAAGCTAAGCCTGACACCATTGCTGTAGGCACCCTTTACAGACAATGGGGAGAAACGAACACCTTTGGAGTGCAGTTGAACTATTTATTTTTGATACCCTGTTCTGGGATACTACGAGTTGCTTGCTGAGCAGTTTCACTCACACAAGTGGTATTTTCAAAAAGTTACTACCTGAAACCTCTCCAGTATATAGRTCAGTTAATTCTTACTTAATACCAATGAACAGAGTAGTTACTTTCCTGGTTGCACCTAAATTTATCCACCTACCTACTTACAACACTCATCAAGCACAAGATTCATATTACTACACAATAAACACAAACAGGTTGTGCTCTCCAACCTGACCATCTTGCTTCAGGCATCAGAGAAAGATGAACACACTTGGAGGCAGTCTTAAGTACTGAAAGCAGGTGTGAAGGATTATCCCTGGTACCGGCCAGTTCTCTCTGAAGATTACAGTGACTACTTTGATGACAACAGGTTACAGACAATTTTTCAATAGCTAAGTTTGGGCTAGAGGAGATACACTTCTTTATGCCTAGAAAACTGAGCTCAACCATGTCTAGAAATTACAGTTCAACCTTTCATAAATTCATATACTGCTACTTTCCAAAAACTTTTTTGACAGCTTTAATTAGTCACAAAGCCACTCACTTGGCACCTGCAGTGCTGCTATGAACAACTTTTTGAAATAGTTTCAGGGAAAAAAATGGGTCRAAACTTCACACTAAACATCTGTGCCACTAACCTTAGTGATTTGAAACAGTTTTGACCTTTCCTTCCTGCAGCAGTAGCTACAGCATGTTAAGTGTCTAAATGTACAAACATGCTTAGACAGACACAGGCTGAAATGCTGATGGAGAAGAACATACCCTGCTAGAAGAGCCAGGCAGCCAYAGACCTTCAGCAGGAATTGCTGAGTTACTTGCTGTACATTGTGCTTATGTGTCCACTCAATGAATAATCAATGTATTTCAATGGAGTGCCAAAGCTGTAGCTGCAAGACAGACCTGGAAGGGCATGCTGTGTTTTTTGGTCATTACAGACAGTGACCATAAACTTCAGTGTCCCTCCAGATTAACAGGTACCAATGCTGATCTCAACCAAAATTACCCATAACCACCATTCAAGGTTACTTACCGGTAAAGCATGAGCAATTTACAGAATAAAACATGAACAATACTGAAATATGCAAGCAAATGCTGACAAGCCCTCACAATATAAAGGATATGTCTTCTCAGTGAGACACCATCCTCAGTGGCAGCCTGCCATGTTAAAGTTAATGGAAAAGTTTCAACCAGTTTCAACAACTCAAGGATTTGGTGCTCCTTTTGAACTTTCCTTCCTGGCTTCACTACAGTGCCAAAAGACAAATTTCAGCTGCAGTAACTCCCCTCCCCATCCCCTAAGCATTTATGAATTAACTAGCAGGTTAAAGGTATACAGAAAAATACTATTTTTCACTTGAGAGTGCAGATGGTAGGTGAGGGAAGTGAAGCATTTTGTATGCGCTGAGTTTAGGTGTGCAGATGTGTACAWGGTACAGGGAGCATTGCTAGCTTTRCCTGTTCCTGTTAAATGGCCAAGTGAGATTCAAGGAACTGTTCAAGACCCCTCTCCATATCTACAACACATTCTTTCAACCTCCTTCCTCAGGAGATCTATTCTACKTTTCATTGTCACAAGGAAAAGGCTGGATTTTAACTGTCGTTCTCCAGTTGCCCTGTTCTACCAGTGCTGAGCACTTTGGGTATGGTGAGGGTGYCTCACAGTTCTCAAAATGAATCATTTAACCTTCTAAACCCAGCAGGTTCATCCTGTGCCTTAGAATTAGGGTTGCAGTGTCTATTACAGTCAATCTGCATTTATGGTTTCATAGCTGGCTTTCAATTCAGCATGCTTCTTGCAACTATGTGGTCATTTAAAGCACAAGTTCAACATTAGACGTGACTCTCTCCTGTGGTTTTATTTAAGACTCCCTGAAAATTAAAGCACTTCGTAAAAAAACTCCAAAGGGGAAGAAACAAGTCTCATCACACTACAACATGCTCTGAAGCCCCCTCTTCAATTTTATTTTAAAATAGCTGTCATTTATTTCTTCCCCTCAGCTCACAGAGTAGAGTTCTGAATTTACCTCATCTCTGTGTGAAATCCCTGCCGACAGCTGTAAAATGAAGTGTGTGTACAAYCTCAGTGYAGGAATSTGCTGCACATTCCCCCYATTTCCCAAATTACCTAATTTATARTAAGTTCTTGRAAAAAAAAGGGTCAAAGCCAATACAAAAGACTATCTTAAAGAATCTGCTGAGGAAGCCAAATGACATTCACACCAGCATGTAAGTTATTTCTTAGTTAGATTGTATTAGCCACAGCAACTTTCTAAGAATACAACAATACATTGTGGAACATCTCTTTATGCCAGTAATGGATACTGACAGAGATTCAAAATTCTCAGTCCTGAATTTAGTATTTGTAAATAAATATATTTCTGTATGTGTAACTGCAGCTTTTATGAAATTGAACCTATGTTAACACATGGAAACCGGCTATGGCTTCCAGGCAGGTCACACCAGAGCACTATCCATATATCCCAATAAAACACATTTGTCACCTAGGGTATCACTAACTATAACRCTTACAAAGAAATACTAATACAGCTAAATTACATCTTGTTAAAGTCACTCCCACACATAGGTAAAAATTGGACAAGAAGCAATGCATTTACCCTCTGAATCACTGCCATCTTAGCTTTTGCAGAAAGAGCTTCATTACGTTGTCATCTCTGCATCACAAATGCAATTCATTTGACTGCAAAGTTTTCAAGAATGAATTATTAACTGTCTTTTCTATAATTATGTCTTCCTTAACAAATCTTAGAATGATTTWAAAAGTCTCACATGGAGACTGGCTTGCTTTCTGGCTGTATCAAGTGAAGGAGTGGGGTTTTTCATTTATTCAGGACTACAACTTCCTGAACACGACAAAACTCCCATACCTTGCTGCTAAAGATACAACACTAATCTGCAAGTGTCTGTCACAAAGAAGCAAATGAACAATTTAGATTTACTTTACTACGTGATCTACTACAGATTTATTAAGATCTACTTAAAATTCATCTTCTTATGGAGACTCTTTTATTTGTTAGTTTAATCMAATTTCTTTACATACCACTCCAAAAAGCTAGAGAGAGAAGAGGCATATGATTGCCTATTCTGGCTTCACAATCAAACACAGTAAAAGATTAATGACCCACAACATATTCCTGAAAGTCACCCTGATGATTTTATATGACAGATRATGTTTGCTTTCAAGTGTTTAAGAGCTGAATGCCTGCTGGGTTTACAGTCTAAAGGCCAATGTCCTCAGCAAACCCATTCATTTGAGCTTTCTGTTTTCTAAGTGCAGTTCTAAGTGCAGTTCTTGTTAAGTTTGTACAGTCAAGGCTGTCATGTATAAGACATTAAAGGAATGTTGCATGTATTAATTTTTTTTGTTTGTGCATGAACACGAACTCATCATGACTTTGCCATTAGAATGAAACCAAAATGGAGTTGAGCTAAATATCACAGTGGAGTGAAGAGCAGATCTGGCATTTATCTTTCGGGGAAGGAATAGATAATTAGTGCCCACAGTGCCCACAGAGCCACTGGTCAAAGTTCCTCTGGCTGCCTAGACCACTTTTCAGGTAAATCCACACATGACAACCATATTTCAGGTCAGTCACATGTTTCTGTCCCATTCTCTTTAGACTCTCACCAGTCCAAGTCAATTCTTCCATTTGGTCCCACTTTATAAATTATTATTAYTYCACTTCTTAGGACTTGAAACATACTTTATTTAAGATGCAGGTTGTTCCTGATTCAAATAGCTCACCATCTTAAGACAAGGTTTGTACGTCACTAAGCTCTAATTTGCTATATTTCCATTCACTGCACTTCTCTCAATATTCTAGACTCCAGTCATTCGCAACATCACTACAATTCTGCAATTCTGGATACGTTCAGAATCAACATTTATGTCACACTGGGGACATCTAGGCTGTGGCGGAAATCACACAGGACACAATTGCGAACTGCCAACAAATAAAGATTTTATTTTTTTTCAAGTGATAGAAGCCTTAAGATGACTCTGAAATAGTAGTAAACTAGATCTGTCTTAGTGAGGAAAGACAGAAGTTACTGTATATACACATCTCAAATCATACACAAAGAGTTTTCTACTCATTCTACAAAGCAAGTCTTCACTGGAAARGTAGCAAATATGAAGGAATTTGTATAAAAATTGATTAATAAAAATGCAGAATGTTTTTTAATAGATGATTATGCTAGTCARATAAATCGTAAATGTATCTTGTACTGTATGGAGAGCAAGCTATATAAACATACACTATGCATCTGTCAAAAAACTGCTCAGAGGAGGTTTTTCWGTATTATCTGAAATTAATTCTAACTTTTCAGAAAACTTGCTGCAAAATGTGTCTTTATTTTAACTATATCAAAACCGAAGATTTATGCTTTTAACTTGCTTTTATACTTTAAGAATTCCGTGCCCTTCAACTTTCCTGAGGGTTTTTTTTACAATTATTGCTTACTCCTCTTATTCCAGGAACAAAAGAAAACCCTGTCTCAAATTCKGACCAATTCTGTTCAAAGCATACTGCAGTACTGACAGATTTGCTCTTTCCCTTMTTTCTGCTTACGAAGTCCCTCTTGTTGTAATCCTTGACTGTCTAGTAAACATTTACTTCACTGACATGAAGCAGGAAAATACTTTCCCCTCATTGCCTACAAACACAGAACTAAAGMAAAGACAGATGAACTTCACTAGGGCCACACAGGATGTTGAAGAAAAAGAGATATTCTGAATTGCTTACATCTCAGCAAGTCCTTTACTTGTAAATCCTAAACAAAGTTTAAACACAGGAAAATGCAAGAAAGTCTGTAAAAKATCTTTCAATAGACTAATTACTGAATTAATTTGAAAAAAGCAGAACAGAAGGACTTTAACTTGACATGAACTCTTACCTAGAACATCCTTCTCATGTTCAGGGATGAGAACTTTCCATTTGGATTCATCTGGATCACTGAAGTCAATGTTGATTAACCGATAATTTGGAGAATGGCGGTTTGTCTTGAAAGTGAACACTGTTCCTTCATTGGTAACATACTCATACTCAGCCTCAAAGTTATCTATCAGCTTCACCCAYTGAAGAATTCCTGCAAGATCAAACACGGAATGTTAGTTCTTCACCTCCTGAAACAAAATCTTTCAACATCTGAGGCCAAGACCTTTCTGACAATTGTTCTAGGTGCTTTCTTGAACAATGGCAGTGACCAGAAGTAGTACAGCTATGGAAAGGCCAAAATGTGCACTAAGTGTTAAGAACTTCCAAAGAAGGCTCCAGGTTGATAGGCTGCAGTAGAAAAATACCAGTTCACAGACATGTTAACGTAACTGGTTTTGAGGAATTTCTAGCAAAATATACACAGAAAACTGTCAGAATTATGGCTCGTGTTTGCACCAGTTTTCCTAAGGGTCTGCTGGAGACGTTTGCCACAGAAATGCTTCTACCACAGTGGTTGCTGTGAAGCCAACCCCATTGAGCACATCAGGTTCTCGTCAAGGGAGTTCACAACGCCCCCTTCTGCAGATTTAGAAKGAAGGGTTCTATCTGAGTTGAAAGACTGCACTAAGATTTCAAGCTCAATTTTATTTTTAACAGCTTTACTAAAATTGCTATTTAATTATAAGGAAATGTTTGGGGATTTCATTTTCTGCAAAAAATTTTACTTTAAATGGAAAGTTTTCCATTCTCCTTAAAAGCCCAGAACTTCCCACAGTATAGAAATTATGCTATCGGAATGAGTACAATAAATTTCAACATAAAGAATTTTTCTTTCAATTCAGACAACATTCCTGAAATGCTGTGCTGCAGAAGCTTGTCATCACTGAAGGACAACTACAGTTAGCTGAAACATCTGGGTTTGTGAAGAATGAAATTGCATTTTCCCTATCAAACACCTAGAATATGACACTCAGTAAAAAAAGCGGACTTCTCTCAAACATGAATTGCCTCAGTTTCAGACTGCAGTACAGAATGGGTGGTATTGACTCAACCTGGAGATGAGATTTTAAGACTCCACTGCTTTTTATTCACATTTTCCCTTTTTTGCAATAGGTTGAGAGGTTAGTAGAAAGAAAAAGCAGCAAGGCTAGACAGAATATGCAATATACTTGTTATACCTACAATCCAACCTATCCTCCAAACTTATCTCATACAAAGTCTCACACATTAGCTATGCTGAAAAGTCAGAACCCTTGTTGATATGAGAAACCAAAGCTCTTGCATCTTAAAATAACATTTAGTGCACTGTCTGCCCCATTCCTAAAACTACAGGTTGGGTCCTTGCTTTTAAGTATAAACAAATAAACTGTTCATAAATCTGTGTGTGATACTCTGTTATGCAATGTTTCCATCAATAARAAAGCATTTCAGCTTATTTTATAATACAAAAAACTGAGCAGAATAATGAAACTGGTTCATAGTGGAGCTGTAATTACTGTAAATTTAAGAAAAGAAAAGAATAATTGAGGAAGCACTGAGATGACTAAGGTCATTTTAAACCCATTAGATGTAATAACAGTATAGTCAGGCCTGGTACATTCATAAAGTTCATCTCTCTTAATTGCCATTTTGGTTTGAGGAAAACTTTTCTGTCTCTTCATGCAAAGTGAYAGATTAGCCAATTAAATTCTACTTTGCATACTGCTGTAATATAAACTTTCCAGAAAATCCAGTCAACTTAGTATCCTGAGTGAATACATTGTCCCTTACACTTTGATTTTTGCTGAGACCCAAAATTTTGCCCTTCTCAAGAGACTTCAYGGTGAAGAAAAATCCTGCTACATCCCTCTAGTTTCTGTGAGTTCTACAGAGAAAACCTGTTTTGATGCCCAGTAAAAGAAAGCAAATCCAGCCTGCTATGAACACTATAAACACCAGTGAAACCATTTTAAGATCCCAAGTTATGAGCACAGGCATTTTAGTAAATARAAACTTTAACTACAGAGTAACATCATAACAATACTGGTTTTTGACAGAATGAAACCACGAAATGGTCCCACTGAAGAACAAGACTTCATAAAAGGGAATCGCCAGATTTTAATCCCACTTTTTAAATGGTAAATGYGCACAATAGTTATAGTCTGCATGASTGCAACAGAACTTGCAATCCATGAAGAAAAAGGACAATAATGTGACATTAGGGATTTACATTGCTTCCTTCCAACTCATTCATCCACTCCCAAATGAACAGCTTGTAAAAAAGTGAGAGGGTTGATGTTCTACAGGGGTGSACTTAGTTGTTATTATACAAAAACAAGAGCATCTATCTTATTAAAGTGGCTGTTACACAGTCCTTAGAAGACAGATATTGCAGATGAATTATCTCTAGACCACTATCTCAATGAAGTGGTTAAATATGCCAACATCTAATCCAGGATCAGAGGCAGTAATGAGGCAACTACAGGCAGCCCTTACATCAGACCCATCATTCTGCACAGGGTGTGTGCTGTAGCCCTCCAGGTAAGAAGAGGAAACCCTTTGCAATGACACACATATCAGACATAAGAGGATGCTTCTTTATGGCTGGTTGCAGGTGACCCATAGTTGTGGCTGTGACTAAAAGGGATGTTCCAGCATTGTTTCAGATCCTCCTGCCTAGCTCTCTCCTTYGGACTAGGAATAACAACCTGGTGACAAACACAGGCATTTCATGGGCACTACCATGGCTGAAAAGTGATGGGGGGACACATTTCTGCCCAGGTCATGCCGGTGGCAGCACAAGGAAGGGACAGGCCCATATAGCTCAATAACATGGCACTGCCCCCTGCCAAGCATTCTGGACTTGCCTCTCAATAACAAAAAGAACAGTATGTCTGTAAGTTATGACTTCAAAAAGTATTTGAAAAACAAGGYGAAGGACAGGCATTCAGTCCATTCTTCATGAAAAGAAAGGAGGAGAGGGAAGAGTTGAAGAACAGGACCTTGATAAGACAATTGGCGGTTTAACCAGCAGTCTTCTGAGAACATGGATCTTTGAGGAGCTTCACTGAGAAATGGCATTTGTAGTCCAGTCTACTCTTAACACCTGAACCACTGAAGACTTCAATTTAATCYACATAAACAAACAATGAAACCGATTTATCATATATAGGAAAAGCATGACAGTTTCCTRTATACTACTGCTATACCCTAATCCTTTACCCTGCATTAAAACACACTGCTGAAAAGATACAGATGRTTTTCCTATATACTTCACATCAGTCAGTTATTCATCATCGCAAAACTGCATTACAACAGGAACTGCAGGTAGAATTCAGGGGACAATAAAGCCATTCCAAGGAACAGAAAATCATAATCCTACAGAGCTAGACTTCTGCTAAGGACAAAAGCAACATCCACTGTACAGACTTTGTACAGACACTGAACAGATTTTTTTAACAGTTTTTGGATTCACAGAAAATCACAAGAAAAATTGTATCAGTAAGCATCACAGAATAAGCCCTCAGTCTGGTACTAGCCTCTGAACATAGTAAAACATTCCTTGGTCTGCTGAGAGCTYTGTGTGATAAAGCAGGTCTGTAACTGAATGATGACAAGTATAGGAGAAGGAAAAGCTAATTTGAACAAACTGATAACATCATGAATTATCACAAGGTCTTTTTACCAACCCTTTTTAGATAGAAAGGATGGAGTGGCTGAGAGTCACTGTTAATCACTTCACAAAATGYTCTCAATACTTTCATATTTCATGGAAAGGCCAAACAATCAATTCACGGCAAATAACCTCTTGTCTGTGCCTGCTGGATAGACASGGTTTAATGGTAGTGTTCTCTTGACACTGTGAAAAAAGTTTTCGAAAGGCAAACACTTGCAGTTGGCTCTTCAAAACAATCAGCTGAAGTACATGTTCACCTCCATAAATTCCGTTCTGTCTTGTCATTTTTTTGCAAGGCAGTTTTTCTAGATATGGGGCAGTGCTGAGAAAGCTCAKGAAACAAATCAGGAGGTTTGGCTCATAACAAAGGAACAGAATGGAACAAAGAGCGATACCACATTTTATTATCATGTGTCAAGTAAATAAACTTCTACTCAAGGAAAGAGCGTGATTTTTTTTAACTCCTAGATTTTCAYAGAATCACAGAATTATTTGGGTTGGAAGGGATCTTAAAAGTCATCTAGTTCCAACCACCCTGCCATGGATAGGGCTGCCTTCCACTAGACCAGGTGGCTCAAAGCTCTGTCCCACCTGGATGTGAACACTTCCAGGGATGGGACATCTACAACCTCTCTAGGGAACCCATTACGGTGTTTCACAGTACTAATCCACATTAGATGGATTTTCACTGTATTTCACAGTACTAATCCACACTAGGTTTTATGTTCAATAGAAGACAGATAATCTCACGGTAAACAGCACACATCAAATTGGAAGAGACTGTTTCAGGGCCCCTGTGGCATGTTCATAACATATTCTGGGAACTGAATGGCAGATACCTTCACTCAGACATCTACTTACAGAGGAGAATCTAAAATTTCTTTTTGAATCATGCAATACTCAACATGCTCTCAAGCGCTTGTTCTGATCCAGGCAGTTACAAACAAGAAGTTATTTTTTTTCTTTTTTCTTCAAAGCCACAAATATTTAATTTTCTCACCCTGGTCTGCAAAGACAAGAGAGATCTGGACTCTCTTTAAAAGCAAGATCTCTCTCTGTCTTGGGTCCTGACTTCACTTATGAACATCTGAGGGAGGGAATACTGGAAAGCAGGTATTAAGATGTCCCTGAAAGGGATGCAACTTTTGTGTTTGCATTGAGAGAGTACTACTCATTCTGMAGATGATGGATGACAGCTACTCAATGATCATGGAAAGCTAATGTACTTGCCATCTAAAAAAAAAAATAAATTGAAGGAGGCAATGTTCATTCCTTTGTGTTAAGAAGTTCGGACATGTCAAGATATAATCAAAGATTAATCCAGAAGAAAGAAATCAAGCACTTTTATGAGCAGACATTTCTCAATCAGTTYCAAGGCTCCAATTTTACTTCCACTGGGATAATCACTCAAAAGACAGGAGAAGAAAATATATATGATTCATTTTGAGAGAGTTATAGCTTATGCCTTCWGACAGCAGAACACAGCAACAGAAAAG